TGCCCCCAAACACACAGGGAGGCCAACTAAGGAGTGGCTCCGTAAGAAGCATTTCAAGGTCCTGGAGTGGTCTAGCCAGTCTCCAGACCCAAACCCGAGCTGAAACTCCGTGTTGCCCAGCGACACCCCCAAAACCTGAAAGATCTGGAGAAGACCTGTATGGAGGAGTGGGCCAAAATCCCTGCTGCAGTGTGTGCAAACCTGGTCAAGAACTACAGGAAACGTCAGACCTCTGTAACTGTAAACAAAGGTTTCGGTACCAAATATTAAGTTCTATTTTTCTATTGTATCAAATACTTATTTCATGTAATAAAATGGAAATAAATTATTTAAAAATCTAACAATGTGATTTTCTGGAAATTTTTTGTAGATTCTGCCTCTCACAGTTGAGGTGTACCTACGATGAAAATTACAGATCTGTCCATTCTTTGTAAGTGGAAAAACTTGAAAAATAGGCAGTGTATCAAATACTTATTTGCCCCACTGTATACTCTTGTGTACCTAGAGTGGCTTCCGCTGAAGGAGCTGTGCTGGGAGGAATGGCTGGAGTAGGAGCTGAATGAGGAGGAATGGCTGTGGGAACGGGATGAGCCAGAGCCTGAGTAAGACGAAGAGCGAGATGAAGACCTGCAGACACACACACATAACAAGAACAGTTGATATTAATGAACGCCGTCTTAAAGAGAAATCAGACCTTGCTTTGTTGCTTATGCCACACCTCTTCAATTACATCAGACAACCTTGAAATCAGTGACAGCTTTGCACCCCGGTTACATTTCCAGCCCAGGAGATGAAGCCTAACATTTTGGACAAATGAAAATCCCCTATACACACTATAAAATAATAAAATATATACATTAGAGAATAAAATTTGTGTAGTTGTCATAAAGGGCACTATTCAACCCGCAAAAATACTTGTACGTACTGTATATTAAGAACAAATTTTACACTAATGTTTTGGTTTCTCAAACTATAAACAAACAGTCTAAGTTCTTGGTTTCAAATCTTAAGGATGAGATATACAGTGGAACCTTGGATTGCGAGTGCTTCTTACATTCCGGCAACGTGCTCGTAATCCAAAGCACTTGTATATCAAAGCGAATTTCCCCATAAGAAATAATGGAAACTCAGATGATTCGTTCAACACCCACTTATCCATATAAAAATGATTACAGTAATACAAAATACAGTATCAAGTACAAATAAAACAAATTAACCTGCACTTTACCTTTGAAAAGAATTGTGGCTGGTGTGAGGGGACATGGTTGCAGTACAGATATTGACTATACGAGTGAAGCGCGAGAACCATGGCTCAGTTGTGATGTACGTGTGTCACGTGACGCTCAGCAGACAAAGCGTATGTACTACTTGTATTGTGATACCTCGCTCGTATATTGAATCAAAATTTTTTGCTCGCCTTGCAAAACACTCGCAAACCGGGTTACTCGCAATCCAAGGATCCACTGTACTAATTTATTCTATCTAAAGGAAGCACAAGGCCGGTGAGCTTAATTTTCAGTTGGTCATTGTGAAGACTGGTAAAAATCCCACAGCAACACAAAACCCATTTGAATCAAAGTATGGAGGTATGAACCACAAAATTCATCATATAACACCACCAGCAGAACAACAGTAAAATCAGCTGGACAATCAGGCTGGACAGTGGACGAGCAGTTTTAACACAGCTGGAAAAGTCAAAGTGAAAAAGTCTCACCAACACTTAAAGTACGCCCTCCTGTTATCACACCTTTTGGGCCCATGTCTAAGCACTTAGTTACACAGTGAAAGTAAGACTTCTCCCATAAATACATTTTATGTATACACTTATGGTTGTGTCAGTCTGCCACTGTGGTCTAAACTAAAATACAGTATCAGCTATGGCAATTAAGATGCTTATTTACAGCAGGACCATTTAACTGCTTGTTTTTAGACTCATGATGACCTCTTTCCCCATCAAGATGATGCAGGATTTCCTGACCTGTAGGAGGATCCTACCTGGAGGAGTTGGACAGAGAGACGGAGGAGCCTGACGGCCGATGTCGACGGCGGCCCTGTG